GCGGGGGTTGGGGGGGAGAGGGCGGAGAGGCGGGGCCGGCGGGGGGAAGTGGAAGAGAGCTTCACCGACTGGGAAGAAAGCGAAGCTCATCGAGGTGGCAGAGGACTAAATTGCAGGGGGGTCACTGTGGGTGCTAAAGGCAGGGGACGCCGGACAGGCTTACTATGTACACCGGGATCCTGCTAGTTCGGGGCCAGACCACCAACAACTATAAGCTGGGAGGACAGGCCATGATCAAGCTTGTAGTGCCTAAATCCTCACATTTCCCTTCACAGCGAGGAGTGCACAAAGCTCCCTCCATCTATCTTGAGGAGTTTTTCAGGGAGCCCCACGAAAAGTGTCACCAAAGTACTGAGGTGATGGCTGCAGAGCCCTTTTTCCCTCATCCTCGCTCAGCCAAGATGCACCAGACCCGAGCTCGCTGCTCTTGCCGGAAGTGTGGCTAAGGTTATAGGAAACGACCTGCGCTTTGACCTGCGTGGGCGGGGCCAGAGGAGCGTTTGTAGCGACTTCTTGCTTGGCACCGGAAGTGTGTCTGTGTAGACCGGGTGCTTGGAGGCGGGTCAGGAAGTGTTCTCCAGGAGGAGGTTTCGCGGGGGAAGCTTTTGCGGCTAGAACACTTCCTGTTTCCTAGTAACAATAGGAAGTGTCCGCGGAGCTGGGGGTACTCCTGGCTCGTGTCAGCTGCGCCCTTTTTACTCTACCTCCTTCCTTCTCCCGCTTCTCCCTTCCCTCTCCCCCTTCCCTCCCCACCCCCTGGGACCCCTGGCGGAGTGTGCGTGTGTGGGAGCGCGAGAGCCCCCCACAGCCACCCCTTGGGGCGCACGGCTGCAGTTAGGGTGAGGGTCCCAGTGCGCAGGCGCGCTCCCGTTCGCGGTCCCCAACGGACGCACCCGCGGCGGGAACGAGAAGGGGCCACCCGTGTGAGGTAGGGGCTTTAAGAGGAAACCGGCCGAGAAGATGAGTGAGGCGAGAGGACTCGTTTGATCAGGAGCTCAGACGATCAAGACAGGGGATTCACTCTTGAGCGAAGGAGCTTTGAGAAGTGAGAGTTCGGGGGCAGGTTCAGTGAGGGGGGGTTAGTCGGCGATAGTTGTATTGGGGTCCAGCGGAAGTAAAGGATCCGTCAGAAAGCCCAGGTGATGGAGAAGGCACGGGGTCCTGCCGTGGAGAGCGCAAGAGCTTTGGGAAGGAGGTTGCCTGCATCAGTGGGTTTGCTCGTGTGTATCCTGGGACAGCAGGCATTGCCATGTGTTGCTGGGAGTAAGTGACACAATGGATATTCTTCAGCACAGTGTTGGGTACGCGATAATGCTCAATTAGCATGCATTGCTGTCATCAGTATTATGAGAGGAGGTAGAAGAACAAGAAGGGCAGCAGCGAGGCTATAGCGAGGAGGTGTCAGAAGGAAAAGGTAGAGAGGGTGAAGAACGACCAGAAATGGGATGGAATTTCCGTGACGGGGGATAGTTTGGGTTCAGGGGAAGTAGGTGAAAGAAGCGGCCAAGAAAGTCTTTTAGAAAGGAGACTTTGTGACCATGAAAGGAATAGGGGACGTGGGGGCACAAGCCAGCCCCTTCTCTGAGGGCGGCCCTGACTTCATCTCTCAGGCCCTCATCTGTCAGCTTTTTCAGTGCCTCTGGGCTACTCTCCTTAGCTGAGGGGTAAGGACTGGACATCTCTTGTTCAGAGCCCTAGGAAAGGTTCAGGTTTCCTTTTAAGATGTCACAGGAGATAACGTTGTTTGTTTCAGAATTATAGAGAGAAGGTTAGGGGCAGTAAGACCTTTTGGATTTGGTCTGAAGAACAGGTTAATAGGTCTGCGATCAGAAGGCAGTTACAGCCCTCTAGACCAGTGGTTCTCAACCTGTGGGTCGCGGCCCCTTTGGGGGTCAAACGACCCTTTTACAGGGGCTGCCTAAGACCATCACAAAACACATATAATTACATATTGTTTTTGCGACTAATCACTATGCTTTAATTATGTTCAATTTGTAATAATGAAATTGGGGGTCACCACAACATGAGGAACTGTATTAAAGGGTTGCGGCATTAGGAAGGTTGAGAACCACTGCTCTAGACTTTCCTTCCCTATCTCTACCTCTAGGGATGAGTTAGGCCCAGGGAAGCTCCCACATCTGGGGAGCTTGTGTACAGAGCTGCCTTACGTGATGGTGCTTCCAGATTAGATCCAGTAGGAAGCAGGTCCCTGGGCATTGCTGCGTGGGGAACCTCTCTGTGACCTCTGGTGAACTTGTTGCTTATACAGCCAAGAGATAAAGTTAATTCAGGCCTTCCTTCTCACGACTGCCCTCTCTTCCTAGGCTTTGGGCACCCCCAGAAGAAGATGCCTCTGCCACCTGCCTGCTCCTCCTGACCCTCCAGGTTTCTGCCACACTGCCCCATGGAGGATGTGCCCACCTCACTCAGCTGCTGTGACTGTCAGCACCACTTTCCTAGTGTCCTGGAACTGTCAAAACACCGTGAACTGCTCCATCCATCCTCCAGCCAGGACAGTGAGGAGGCTGATAACATCCCTCCGCCCTACCGCTGTCAGCAGTGTGGGCAGGGCTACCATCACCCAGGAAGCTTGGTCAACCACCACTGTAC